ATTTATTTCTGGACTCTCAATTCCATTCACCTGTGTGTCTGTTTTTTGCCAATACCATACTGTTTTGATTATGATAGCTCTGTAGTATAGTTTGAAATCAGGGCACATGTCACCTCCACCTTTGTTCTTTCTCAAGACTGTTTTGGCTATTTGGGATCTTTTTAAACCACAAATACACAAACATAAAAAATTTAGATTTCTTTGTTCTAATTCTGTGAAAGATGCCATTGGTATTTTAGTTGGGATTGCAATGAATCTGCAGATTGCTTTGGGTAATAATTTTGAGAATGTTAATTCTTCCAAACAATCACCATAGAATATCTTTCCATTTATTTGTGTCATCTTCAATTTCTTCCATCAATGTTTTATAGTTTTCAGAGTACAGGTCTTTCATCTCTTTGGTTAAATTTATTCCTACAGGGTGTCTGGGTGGCTCAGTCCATTAAGCATCTACTTCAGCTCAGGTCATGATCCCAGGGTCCTGGGATCAAGTCCTGCATTGGGCTCCCTGCTCAGCAGGAGTCTGCTTCCCCCTTTCCTTCTACCCCTCCCCCATGCTCATATGCATACTTTCTCTCTCAAATAAATAAAATCTTTTTAAAAAGCAAATTTATTCCTATATATTTTATTCTTTTCAATGCAATTATAAATGGGGCTGGTTTCTAAATTTCACCTTTTGATGCTTCATGATAGAAACATAACCCATTTCTGTATGGTAATTTGTGTCCTCTGACTTTACTACGTTCATTTATTAGTTCTAATAGTTTTTTGGTGGAGTCTTTAGGGTTTTCTAAATATAGTACCATGTCATCTGCAAATGGTGACAGTTTTATTTCTTCCTTACTAATATAGATGCCTTTTTTTTTCTTGCCTGATTGCTATGGCTAGGACCTCCAGTGATATGTTGGATAAAAGTGATGAGAGTAGCATCCTTGTCTTTTTTCCTGATCTTAGGAAAAAAGCTTGCATCCTTTTTTCACCATTCAGTATAATGTTAGCTGTGGATTTGTCCTATATGGCCCCTATTATGTTGAGGTACATTCCTTCTATACCCACTCCCTGAGAGTTTTTATCATGAATGGATATTAATTTTGTCAGATACCTTTTCCGCAGCTATTGAGATGATCGTATGATCCTTACGCTCTGTTTTGTTGAATTTGGTTTGTGACGATTCTGTTGAGGACTTCTGCATCTATAGTCATCAGGGATTTTGGTCTGTAGTTTTCTTTGTGTGTGTGTGGTGTCTTTATTTGGTTTTGGTGGCCTCACAAATATGTTTGAAAGCATTTCTTCCTCTTCAATTTTTTGGAATAATTTGAGAAGGATGGTCATTAACTCTTATTTATTTATTTGTAGAGAGTGAATGGGGAAGGGGCAGAGGGAGAGGGACAGAGAGAATATTAAGCAAGCTCCACACCAAGCATGGAGCCCAGTGCAGGGCTTGATCTCACAACCCTGACATCATGACCTGAGCTGAAATCAAGAGCTGGTCGCTTAACCAACTAAGCCACCCAGATGCCCCATTAGTTCTTTAAATGTTTAGTAGAATTCACCTGTGAAGCTGTCTGGTCCTGGAATTTTGTCTTTTGGGAGCTTTAAAATTATTGATATAATTTCATTACTTGTAATGAGTCTACTCAGATTTTCTACTTTGTATTCAGTCTTGGATGGTTGCTTGTTTCTCAGAATTTATCCGTTTCTTCTAGGTTTTCCAATTTGTTGCTCTATAATTGTTTGTAGTAATCTCTTATGAGCCTTTATATTTCTGTGGGGTCAACTGTAATTTTGTTCATTTCTGATTTTATTGATTTCAGCCCTCTTTTTCTTAATCAGTCTGGCTGGAGGTTTTTCAGTTTTATCTTTTTAAAGAACCATGTTTTAGTTTCATTTATCTTTTCTTATGTGTTTGAGAGAGAGAGAGAGAGAGAGAGAGAGTGTGTGTGTGTGTGTGTGTGTGTGTGTGTGTGTGTGTGTGTTTGGTGCCTCTTTCATTTATTTATGCTCTGATCTTCATTACTCCCTTACTTGTACTAACTTTAGGCTCTGTTCTTCTCTTTGCAGTTCCTTTAGATATAAAGGTAAAAGTTAGGTTGTGTATTTGGGGTTTCCTGTTTCTTGAGGGGAGCCTGTATTGCTGTGAACTTCTCTTTCACCTGTTTTTGCTGTATGTGATTACTTTTGGAAAGTTGTTTCCATTTTCATTTGTCTCATGGTATTTCATTAGTTTCAGGTGACAAAAATACCTCCAACACTTTCATGATTCAAAAGTGCCTGCGGCTGACTTTTTGAAGTAACTTTTAATATTAGACCAGTTTTAGATTTATAGTTTACTGAAAAGATAATACAGAGAGATCCTCTATCTTCCACATCCAGTTTTCCCATTGTTAACCTCTTAATTTTATAGTACATTTGTCACAATTAATAAACCGATATAGATATACTTTTATTAACTAAAGGCCAAATTTCATTCTGATCTCCTCATTTTTCCCTGATGTCCCTTTTTGGTCCCAGGATCACATCCAAGATACATTATATTTAATTTTCAAGTCTCCTTATGCTCCCCTTGGCTGCAACAGTTTCTCACACTTTCCTTTTTTTGATGGCCTGGACAGTTTTGAGGAGTACTGGGTAGGTATTTTGTTGAATGCCCCTCAACTGGGGCTTGTCAATTACTTTTCTCAATATTAGACTGGGGCTACAGGTTTTGGGGAGGAAGACCACAGAAGTGCCATTTTCATCACATTATCCTAAAGTTAGCTATAATCAAAATGACTTATCACTGTTCTCGTTGACCTTGATCACTTGGCTGAGGCAGTGGCTGAAAAGCAACTATTACACTTACACCTGGCCAGAGAGAAAACGTTAGTTGGTACTGAGGTCTATGGACACGTGGGACATTTTTTAGCTTTCAGCTACGAAGTTCAGCCACCGTAAACAGACTTGAAATTAAGTGAAGTATGTACTGTATAAAAGTATACAACAGAGTTTGTGCTGGGGTGGGTGCTGAGGAGAAGGCACCTAGCACGTGTAACAGGTGAGTCCTTTTCTGCCCTGGCAGTGCCCAGGCTCCTGAGAGGACTTCTGCCTGAACACGAGAGGCAGGACTGACAGGCTGGCTCCTGCAGCCTGCCTGCCCCATGCTGACTGTTCTACTAGGACTGAGGAGACCCTCCCCAGTGCTGGCTTCTGAGGTTCTTGGCGGTCCCACTTATCACTGGGACTCCCCTCATATTCACATTCAAACAGAACCTGCCCGGGGAAGGGAGCAAGAGGGGGCTCTCTGGGTGCTGGGAACATTCCTTTCTTGAGTTGGTTGCTGGCTGCATAGTTATTTTTGGTTTATGAACATTAATCAAGCTATTCGTGTTCTGTATGTATATTACAAGTTAATAAAAAATAGAAACAAAAGCAAATAAAAATTCTAAGAGCCAGCAAGTGGGTGCTTTTTAAACTTGCTCTTTTAACCATTTTTAAGTGGACAACTCACTGGCATGAAGTAAATTCGTAATACTGTGCAACCATCACTATTATCCATTCCCAAAACTTTGTCTTTATCCCAAACAAACTCTCCATCCCTCTCCCCTGCCCAGCTCTTGGTAACCTCTATTCTACTTCTTGTCTCTAAAAATTTGCTCTTTTAGGTACCTCCTATAAATCAATCATACAGTATGTGACCTTTTGTGTCTTGCTTATTTCAGCATAATGTCCTCAAGGTTCATCCATGTGGTACCATGTATCAGAACTTCATTCATTTGTAGGGCTTAAAAATATCCCACCGTATATACCAACCACACTTTATTCGTTTATCTGCTGATTGACACTTGGGCTGTTTGCACCTTTGCTATTGCGCGTAATGCCGTTATGAACAGGGGTGGCTAAGTTTCTGTTTAATTCTACAAATTCTTTCACAAAGAAATAGAATTGCCAGATCATATGGTAATTCTGGTTAATTTTTTCAGGAACCGCCAAACTCTTCCACAGTAGCTGTACAATTTTAATATTCCCAACTGGAAATATGAGACTTACAATTTCTTTTTTTTTTGAGAGTTCCAATTTCTCTACATCCTCACCAACACTTGTTCTTTTCCATTTTGTTTTGTCTATAATAGCCATCCTAGTGGGTGCGCATCATTGTGGGTTTTGTGGGTTTTGAACTGCACTTCCCTAATGGCAAATAATGTTGGGCATTTTTTCATGTGTTTAATGGCCATCAGTATATCTTCTTTGGAGAAAAGTCAATTTTGATCTGTTGCCCATCTTGGATTTAGATTTTTGCTATTGTTGATTTGTAACAATTTCCAATATATTGTGGATACTAAACCCTTTCAGATATTTGATTTCCAAATGTTTTCTTCCCATTCCATGAGTTTGTCCTTTCACTGTCTTACTAATATCTTTTGATGAACAAAAGGTTTTAATTGTGATGAAGTTCAATTGACTTATTTATTGTCATTGCCTGTGCCTTTGGTGACATTATCCAAGAAGTCACTGCCTAATCCAATGCCATGAATGATACTCACTTTGACTTGGACCATTCTTTATCCCTCACATCAGCTGGGTTTCAGGAAGGAATTCATTGTAAATAGCAAACATACATTTTTTTAAATTAACAAATAAAACTCTTTGGATTGCTACAGTGAACACACCTCACTGAAGACTTACTCCTCTTTATGAGGGAAATGGAGTCATACAATTGTAACTAAAAGAATAAGTACATGGGGACACATAAGACCTAGCTTTGGCTATGGGCCCTGGTAGCAAGCTGTGACCTAGAAGAAGTCCCCTTCTTTCTCTGAGCCTCCATTTTCTCTTCCACGTCATGAAGGTGTTGCAAGGGGGCAGGCTCTGGGGTCCCAACTGTCCTGCCCATCCATGTTTGGATAGCACCCTGGTACACAACACTTGTCAAAGGCCAGACCCTTGGCCTCTTCCCTGGAGACAACCCACCTCTTCCTTGGAATGTGAGTGAGACTTAGCGTGCTACAGAAGGGGAGACTTACAAGGGTGAGGACTTCCCGGGCAATCACATGGGCTCTAGGAGTCCAGAGCAGGAAGTTCAGGAGGAGGCGCCTGATGAGCTGTTGACACAAAGGTGGTCTGGGGTCTCTGTCTCTGCTCTCTGCAGCTGCTGCCTGAAGATCCTTGGCTGAGAGACTCGGACTTCTAAGCAGCTTTTTGAGGCGGACGAGCACTGCTTTTACCTCTACCTGGGAAGTATAAGGTGAGAGATTAAGGAAGAGTCAAGACAGGAACGGTTCTAGGATTTACTTGGGACTTTGAAGCAAGCCTCCAGAAAGAGGAGAGGACTGGTGCCTGAGGGAAGGCAGACAGAGGCGACTCATGTCTGAGCTTACACACTGCTCCACACAAACCCAAATGGGCGTAATGGAAATTTCTTGACTTTTCTTTCGTCTTGCTCACTAAGCAGCCAAGGCACCATGCCAGGAATTTTTTTTTTTTTTAAAGAAAGGAAATGGAGAAAAATCCTCAGCAGAATGCAGTCAGATTTTTATATTGTGGGAAAAAGAACAAAAAGCTCCTTGAAGACTCGCTCACTATCACAGCCACAAATCAATTAAAGCCCCATGCAACTGGACCTCCACTGAGCCAATGTTCTGATAAGAATGAGGTTTGCCTTTTGCCTTTTGCTATCTTTGAGGGGAGGAAACACACACACACACACACACACCCCACATTTGTTTTGTTTTAGACACTAGGACAGTCTGTTCATACATGTTTAAAGCCCAAGCAGAGGTCACAAGTCTGTGGAATGCACATAATAACGGTGATTGTTATAGGTCTGTGGGTTGTTTTTGCATAAAAAATTCTTATTTCATGCTGAGACTTCTGCTTGCTATAATGGTACATCAAGTTGTGACTTGGAAACAAAGAAAAAACTGAAAAGCCATAGATCCAAAATGCCACATGGCACTCATGAACAGCTATGTTCCGTCACTTTCGGAAGAATACTTGGGCCTATTCTGAGAATTCCCATGACCAATTTTATGGATTTTGTGTCTTTTTTTTTTTTTCCCCCTGGAAGTTAGGGCCTCATTCAATGAAGTCTGTCATAAACTCCAGTACACTAGGAGTGCTGTGTGAGCTATTCTGACCACAGTCCAAGACCGTGAGAAACTGTACCATGGGGCTCTTCCACGGAGAATGGCAGCATTCCAGCAGGAGAGGGCTACTCTCTCACCACCTGCTTCTGTCAGCTGGGCCCAGCCTGCCCTCATCTGATGGCATCTATGGGAGCCCAAGACCCTCCTGCCATCTGAATGGTGTACAAAAATGTCAGAGCTTAGGAAGCTCTGCCTTCATATCCATTTTCTTCTTGACTGAAAAATATCTTCTTGACTTTCTACCTTTGTCCAGTACTCCCTAAAACTGGTCTTCTTCATCCCAGACCATCTTTCCCTTTAAATGCCTTCCGTGTCCATAACCTTCTACCTGACAGGCCAAAACTTTAAACACTTTTTAATTTGTTTTTAGGTAAAAGACATAAGCTTTCTTTTCTAAGTAATACTTTTTGTCCTGCATTATGAAAATTTACATATGCTCACGGTAGAATTAGAATAAAAAGTATATAACCCCACTACCCAAATAAAAGTTCTGATCTATCTTAATCTCAGACTGGTCGTGCTCCATTTTCTCCAGAGGACATGGAGGAAATCAGGTTCACATCCTTCTCATCTTCTTCCCATGCCTTGTGAACACAGCACTATGTTTTCTTACAGTTTGCACAGTGCACTGGAAGCAATGTCATGTATCTATGGTCTTTGAGAACATGATTTTTCACAGCAGAATGCTAGTTCATGGTTAGAATATGTCACAGTTTATTTAGTCAGTTCTTTACTACTGAAAGTTTAGGCCATTTGTAACATCTACAATTGCAATAATGCTCACGTCTTACACATAAATCTTTGTATGGCTCTCTAATTACTTCCCTAGGATAATTCCTCGAGGTAGAATGACAAAGTTAGAGAATGGCCTAATTCTTAGGGGTATACAAACACAGGTGTTTTTTGTTTTTATCGTGATCCAATTCAAAGTCAGCAAGAGAAGATGGACATCGGTTGGCAGTGAACATGGTCTGCAGAGAGCAGGACGGGACTTTGTGCGGCGGTTGCTCTTGCTTCCTCATTACTGAACCTCAAGGATGGCCGGGAAGACAGTGCTTCTAGCCATGGTTTACTATCAGGGCTGAGCAATTAACCGGATTTAATGACACATTTTGAGGAAAAGGCACAGATGTTGTCAGGCTCATTCAAATCTCCCAATAATCACACGTTCAAAGGCAGCTCACAGTTTGTTTCTCAAGTAACCCAACAGACCATCAAAGGGATTAAAGCTCGAAAAACCCAGAAGAGAGAGAGGTATGTCTTACTAGTTAAACTAGGAAAACTGGGCCCATTTGCTCCTCAGGACATCACACACACCAGTGCCTCCAGCTGGGCACAAAGGAGGAAGAAAGAGGCTTTGGGATCACAAACTTGAAGTGTGGCTTCAATCACAAGATGAATAGCCACCTCTGACAGAGTAGCTAAGACCGAAGCAAATATGCTAGCCCTAAACTACCCTGAGTGAACAAATTAATCTATTTTTTTAAGAGATTTTATTTATTTGAGAGAAAGCAAGAGAGAGCATGATCTGTAGGGGAGGAGGCAGAGGGAGAGGGAGAAGCAGACTCCCTGCTGAGCAGGAAGCCCAAGATCATGACATGAGCTGAAGGCAGACGCTTAACCAACTGAGCCACCCAGGTGTCCGGAGCTAATCTATTTTTATCCAGTATGCCTAAGCATCCTGGAGTAAGAACTATGCACAGGTTTTATTTAAAAAGAAAAAAAAAAAAAAAGACAAAGTTAAGTATTAGAAAGACATGCCAATGCAGAACTGTCTAGAAATTACATTTTTTGGGGGGACAATTTATTTCTCTATAGTTCAAAAGTGAACCTCTGTTAGTTTCTATGATCAATACAGAATTTAACACATAACCTTCCAACTTAGCTTATAAACAATCAAAGTATATATAACAGGGCTTTGCAAATCCTTACTGCTACATACATTTTAACTACTACTATAATTAAAAATAAGGATCTCCCTTAATTAGAATTAGGAGTTCCCATAATTACTTTAATTGATATTTTAAAAGGGAAATAGAAGGCTTTCTTTTTAATCATACAGCAACCCTCAGATACATTTTGTGGATTATGATAATTTCTTTAAAATGTCCTATTTTTGATCCAAAATAAATTATCGCCAAATTTCAAGTTTCCAAAATCCAAAACTCTTTCTTTCCTCTACCATGCAAGCCTTTAAACAAGTAAAATAAATATACCGACATATCTGTATTAGTCTCTGCTTTTTTCCAACAACGGAAAACATCAAGCAAATAGAAGCACTGTTCTCTATATAAAGGAACCTGCTTCCTTTAATTATTGAAATTAGCAAAAAGTGCTAGCAGTTAAAGTTTTAAAAACTGGCAAATAAATGTATGCGAGGGAGGTGCCAATGCCTTTAATCAAAGCGTGGCTTCCTGTAATCATTACACTCCACATAAAACAACAACTCTCTTTGCCACAGACAGTCAGTCTAGCACTTAGTGGCTCTGTTATTTATGGAATGCCCAAGACCTTTTTCAGAAGCTAAGGGGTTAACATCAGATTACTTTAATAAGAGTTCTAAACAAAGCTGGTAATGTGAGGACCTGTTGACTGATCCAAAAAAGCAGTAAGTCAAGACAGGCCGGGCTGCTGATCAGAGAGAGGACTGTGCTCCTCAGAAAAGCAGTCAGATTCTGCACAGCAAATGCTAGAGGACATGGCCCCTGGGCCAGGAGCATCTGTAAACGAGGGCAGAGGTGGCAGCTGAGCAAGAACAAATAAAACGTGGGGGATAGAAGGGCTATGCCTCGTCTACTCGATGCCTCTGAGGAAAGCAGAGTGGCAGTGTCCTGTCTCTAGTCGACTCTGTGAGGAAAGAAGACGTCTCCGACCACACACCCAGCACGCACACACCTATCTGGGTGGACATCAACTTCCTTCCACAATGAACACAGTGAACACTCAGCGCTTAGGTGCCTGGGGGTTAGTAGAAGCCAACCCCGCTACAGGGCCCTTTCCCTACAGGATCCTTTCTGATCCCGAGGTGGACCCGGAGCCCTGTACGCAGTGGGCCTTGCCACCCACCATGGTCTGTGCTCGCTGCAGACTCCCGTCACGTGGGCTGTAGCTGAATGCCAAGAGCCAGAGCAGGGCCTCAGGGGGTTCAGCTTCTGACATCACTAACTGCTCAGCTGCGATATCAGCCCATCCTCCAAAGTGAATGAACAAAAACCAGCACTCAAAGGGGCCTCCGTAGGACCTGGAACAGAACCAAAACACATGGCAGCCGGCAACTTGATTTCTTTCGCTTTTTGGTTCTTAAAGCTACTGTAACGTTTGTGAATGATTGGCTTAAATTGTTCTTATGCACTGAAGTACAACTTGCAAGGAATACAAGTTAGACTCAGAAAAGTACTCACAATGCCACGCTGAACTCATCACAGGGCCATCAAAGGCAGGTCTTTCAAAACACCAGGTGCCCTGAGGACTTCACATATTTAAATCTTTATATCCAAGGACCATGAGTGAGTACAGGCCTTTGACAAAGAAAGATTCAGGACCATGACCAACAGGAATGCTACAAGATGAGAACCTGCAGGCCCCCTCTGCTTTCTAGCTGGCCTGCACTGCTGGGCTGCCGCAGAAAGTGGGGCCCCCAGCCATGAGGTGGCCACCCAGGCAGCTCCAGAGCAAGAAATGAGGGGGCTCCTGTGGGTCCAGATGGAGACCAGGGAAGGGACGCAGACAGAAACATGCATGATTTCCTTTCTGACAAAACACAAGGTTCTGGTCAGTATTTTGGCAATTAGGAATTTTGAATGGGCTGTATACTGTATTCTTTCCTGTCATCATATGTATGTCCGAGCTGAAAAGTTAGAAGCTTTTGTGAAGCTATCCTTTTGTCATGCTGGGAACTGAGAGGTGCACTGGTAGTTTAAAGGGTAGACTCTGCTCAAGGAAATGACTCATTACTATGCACAGCGACAGTGTCAGCAGCTTAATATCTCCCCTGGAGAAAATGGAGCAGGACTGGCCTGAGATCAGGGTAGATCAGAACTTTCCTTCTGAACCAGGGCAACTCCTGGAACAGGAGAGTTCTGCGCCTCCCTTGGTTGGATCTGGGCCTGCTGTATCTGTTCTAAGAACAAGTGATTAAATGTTGTAAAATCAAGCTTGTGGAACAGTGGAGAGAAAAGAAAGGAGGGTATTAATCTTACTTGTCCCATAGGAGGGAGATGTGGTGCTCTGTGGGCCACCTCAGTGGTCGGCTGGGTTATGATGTCTCAAAACAAGGGACAGGCTCCACAGGGCCTCTCCCCTACAGACCTCACTATAACATGAGCACCAGGGCTCTCTCACACTTCCTGCTCACAGGTGGGCATCACACCTGGATGAGAGCTTAGAGTGAGGCTTGCACAGATGGGCCTGCTCCTTGCTGTTTTCTGCCAGTAACTGAGCATGTGAAGCAGTCCCAGTGGCCAGCTAAGAAAGCATCTAAACCTGTTCACCCACTCCTCTCTGCAGGTGGAGACTGGGACCTACTTAAGGCAGATCTAGGTTAGGTAGGAGTCCCACAGGGTTTGGGGGCTAGGTCCTGCTCTGCAACAGAGACAACCTAAAAGGATGCACATGGGGCTGACAGGTGTTACAGGTCATTACTATGGCCAAAACTCTATCCCTCCTTGGCTGCTAGTTCTTTTTGTCTCATTTATTATTGGGGAGGGGTAGGTGAGTAACTGGCACAAAGCCTTCATCAGTGACTGTGAACATAAGGAGGACCAACCAGACTTTGTGATGGCTCAGTGAGGAGATAACAGAGGATTTCAAGAGGGAATAGTGGCAGAAGAACAAATAAAGACAGTTTCAGTAGGTTAGTAAAGACAACAAATAAAATATTTACACTCTACAAAAGTGTAAGTCAATAGGAAGCAGAAGGGTATTATGTCACAAAGAACATAATAAAGCCTAAATGTGATTGCTTTTAGGAAAATAATGTGAGAGGGTACTTAATATCAAGTTAGAAATTAATTCATATTAGAATGGACTTTCTAACTTTAGATACACATTTATTAAAAAAGAGGAGGAAAGGGGAGCATTTTACCCTACTGTGCAAGAGAAGAATTTCCTTCCCTTGAGAGTAAGAGGAAAGGAGAAGCCAAGGGACCCAGAGGGCACTGCCCTTCTCCTTCTGCGTGGCTGGGGGTGGGGCAGCATGTAGGCACCGCCTTTCCTACAGGGTCTATTCTTCTTATTGTTATGCTTGTATATTTCAAAATCCAATACCAGTCATTACTGAGGACAGTTTCTACACAGGTATTTAAGTATGTATCTGTTGATTCTGAGCTGCTCAAAGTGATACGTGTAGCTGGCTATGTGTTTCCTCCACTTCTCAATCAGCAATGTGCTTACCTCTTTGGGAATGGTCGGTAATGCCAACCCCTGTCAGCCCTCCGTGAAGTAAAGATCAGGATCAAGAGAAAACACTACGATGCAGACCTAGGAGTCGTCAGGATTTGCTTACCTGTGAGTCTGGTCTTCAACTATTTCTCTGAGCATTTCGGAAATATGTTTCAGTGGCTGGTGCCACAGTTCTTGTGGGATCTCTGTGGGCAGAGAGACACACCAGAGGGAACTGAAGAAAAGTCAAACCCATTAGGACTATCTGCTGCTAAGAACAGAAGAGCTTTGGAAAAAGGCCTTATTTTTCCTGGTCCATGGGACCCATACCACTGGCTTCATGCTATTCCCAGCCGATATCCATCCCTTAGGCCTGGGAAAACCCTGTGTTACTTAGAACTAAACTTCACAGGCTCTTTAACTCACATACACAGAAAGAGACAAACCGCATAAGCAGCCTGCCCTCGGACTGGAAATGTTGTAGGGCAGATAGCCCAGGTGTTTTTCTTTTCTACCCTCCACCCCATCACTGATAATTCATGATTTCAAAGTACATGGAGCTGTTGATAAAAGTCAACAAGGAACTAAGGATAGGCTGCCCAACTGTTTTTCTATGACTATGATGAATTCAAAATATGATTTCAGGTTTAAACGAAACAAAAGGCCAGGAAAATAATACACGGTATCCTACAAATGTCCTTTCTTGAGTTAGTTTTTCTGGTTTGACAATTATCCTATGATTTTAGACACATCTGAACCTGTATGTTTCTGCAGTTCTAAACAACATCTAAAAAAGTTACCACTTTTCCATGCGGTGACAGATTCTATAATTAAATGCATCAGAGGATAATGTAAGCGACGGGGTAAGCACTGCCAGCGACTCCACAACTGTCATGGGTACAGGATCATACGTTATCTTTCCCTCCCTGGAATGTCCGTAACTCTTGACTGGTAGCCTGTGAAGGCACGTTTCATTTTCTTCTTCGTATTAATTATTTAGACCCTTATTTCATGTCCCCCTCTACTTGTAGCTCTTGGATAGTCAGGGCTCATAAGTGATCTTTTATGCCCCACAGGACTTTACAGTGGGCACAAAATCAATTTCTGATGAACAGAAAATTCTACTATTAAAAAATACTTCAGGGACATCTGGGTGGCTCAGTCAGTTAAGCGTCTGCCATCAGCTCAGGCCATGATCCCGGGGTCCTGGGATTGAGCCCCACATCATGCTCCCTGCTCGATGGGGAGCCTGCTTCTCCCTCTGCCCCTCCTTGTGCTCTTTCTCTGTCTCAGGTAAGTAAATAAAGTATTTAAAAAAATACTTCAATTTGTGAACTTAACATTTCCCCCCCAAAAAGTTAATACGCTGAAAAAAAGAATAAGAGGAACTACTGCTAAAATGCACTTACTTATTTTTGGACATAAGTCTGGGAGAGTCACACAAAGGAAAAGGTAAATGGCTGACTTCATGCCCAAGGTATCACCTTAGTCTTTTGTTTATAGATTTCCCAACTTAAAAACTAACAATTCTCGTATTTTTACTGGAGCTCATTCAGCTTTTCACACAGGCTGAGCCCAGGCTTCTCTAATCTGACCTAAGCTGTAAAGTGTACCCCTTGAAAGAGAAATGCTGACTTTTCTGTCTTGTTATCAAAGTTTTCCCATTGTGTTCCCACAGGATGAGTTTCACAACACTGCTGACCACAGGTTCCATCAGCCTCATTATCACCTCTACTACTCGCATCTGAGTGGAGGGGCTCAGATGGGTCACTCTGGGTGAGAATCTACAGCTTCTGGAAAAAGGAACAAGAACTGGATTTTGTAAAATGCTCTGAAACTTTGAATCATCTACTTTCCTTGAATAAATCAATTTACTCAAGTCTCGGGAAAAAATGCAAGCAAAACGGACATAAAAAAGGAGTATTACCAACTCTTTCTATCTTCTTTTTCCCTCCACAGTTAAAAATGCCTTCTTCTCTGGCAGAGTCTCTGCCTTTCCCTCAGATGCCAGGCTTCCGTGGGAAGGACTTTATTCTCTGTGCCTGAAATGTAGCCTAAACACAAGTTCCCTCGCATGCTAACAAGTCCACCCCAGTTGGGTTAAGGATGGAATCATCACTTTCCCAACTGAATGTGGCCAATGGAAGGCTGGCAAATGAGATTAGAGAAGGCCATGATCTATACACTTAACTGAATTCTTTCAAAAGTCTTCCCTTGACTCAGGAGAAATTCCCCCTAAATTCCCTAGGCTTTGTTCATCATTTTATCTTTCCTTCTGTAACAAGCGGCACAGAGTAGAAAGAATGAAATACAAACATCTTCCTCAGCCAACTCTTAGCCTGTTCCTGGCATTCAGGTGGATCTGGCTAGCACCAGTAGAGGCCTATGTTATCTGGAGCAGACTATCAAAACCTATTGAGAGGACGATTTTTTTTCTTGCTTTTGGTAAGTGATGACAACTGGGAAGTCCAGAAAATTCTCATATCAAAATCCCACAGAATGTGAGACCCTGAGAGGTTGAAGGGATGTTAGAGATGACCAAGTCCATCTCCCCTGTTATATAAATAAGGGACTGGTAGTGAAGGGTCATGATGTGTCCCTGTTCTTTCTTAGAAATTATTTTAATATGATCAGAATCAACTTTCACGTACCTTTTGGGTGTTGTAGCAGCACCATAACAAGGGATGGAGAGCCATAAGGAAAGTAGGTCTTGAATGTAAACTTCAGCTACAATAGAATAAAAAATTCAAAACCACATGAACATTTGGGTTGAAAGAGATATTAAGAAAGAACAAAATATTGCATCATCTGCCCCAAAAAGACCTACTAGTACTAACATGGTCAGAATGTTTACTTAAACATTTATTTTTTAAAAAATGCTTCCAATAACCTTGTAAATATGTTCCAGAAAAATGAACCTTTTTGAAATCACCTTCTGGGGCTTAAGAAAAATAAAGTTATGTTCCTGGTGTCTTTATAGCAGTTCTTTACCTCACATGAACCCAATTATGCACATAAATCTCCTATTTAAGTGAGAGTTTCCAAGGCAGTTGTGAGATGCTAGGTATTCCAGCATGGTTTTTTAACAACAAAAAAAGCATGAAACAACAACGGTGCTCACAATACTTTGAGGGCCAAAGTGCTATAGTTCTTTATACCCTCTGAAGGCAGAGTGGCTTTTAAGTACTTTTATAAGAAATTAAACGAAAATCTAGAAAGAGTGAAGTGCTCAGGCTTTGATGAGTTTTGGTAAATCTGTAAATCCATCACCCCAGTCAAAACAGAGAACATTTTTGTCACCCCAAGAAGTTCCTTTGTGGTTCTACCACTCCCCAGCAACCAATATTTTGATTTCCGCAAGAGAGTTTAGTTTTGCTTATTCTTGAATTTCATATAAATACAAAGAGTACGCATTCTTTTGTGTCTGGTTTGGCTCAACATCTTTTTTTGAGATTCATCCATGTTACTATGCTTGAGTCATTCATTCTTACATTCTTTTTTATTGCCTGGAACAATCACTGTATGAATATACTGTAATGTTTATTCATTCTCCTACTGAGGGGTATTTGGGTTGTTTCCGGTTTGGGGTTACTATGAAAAAAAGCATCAAATTAACATTCATATTTATGTCTTTTTGTAGACATGTGCTTTCACTTTTCTTGGGTAAATACCACAGGAATGGAATTACTGAGTAGATGCCTGTTTAACTTTATTAAGAAAATGCCATGTAGTTTTCCAAAATGGTTGTACCATCTCACACTCCACCAGCAATTTATGAGAATCCCAGTTGTTCCACAGAGCAAACCTTTGATATTGTCAATCTTACTAATTTCAGCCACTCCAATGGGTATGAAATGTCACCTCTTTATGCATTTACTATGCGTCTCCTTGACAGCAAATGATGCTGAGTGATTTTCATGTGTTTACTGCCAATTTATAGATCTTTTTTGAAGCATGTATTCATTTCTTTTGTACATTAAAAAAAAAAAGTTGTTTATTAGGGAGTAAGAGCTTTATGTAATCTAGACACAAGTTCTCTGTTAAATGTATGTATTGAAAATATTTTCTCTTACCTGGTGGCTTGCTTTTTCACTTTCTTAACGATGTCTACCAAAGAAAAGAAGATTTTGATTCTGATGAAATCTATAATTTACCTATTTTTTCTTGTATGGTTTATGCTTTTTTTATTTTGCATCCCTTGTAAGAAATCTTAGATGGTTCCAATGTAAAAGAATATATATTCTCCTACGTTTTCTTCTAGGAGCTTTATAGTTGTAGCATTTATGTTGAAGTCTATGATCTACCTCAAATTAATTCTTGTATTTGTGAGGTAGAGGTTCTTTTTTGCCATATAGATATTCAGCTTTTTCAGCCCATCTGTTCAAAACGTTCCTTTCCCCCGCTGAATTGCCTTTGTGCCTCTGTCAAAGACCAACTGACTATACACGCACATACACATGTATATATAAAGGATGAACTATATGGATATGTATTTCTAGACTCTTCACTCTTCAGTTCTACCAATCTATCTATCCTTTTGCTGATACCTCACAGTCTTGAACACTGTAGCTTAAAGTCTTGAAATCAGGTAGTATGAGTCTGCCAGGTTTTGTTTTTTGTTGTTTTTTTTTAAATTTTTTTTTTTAATTTGTTTTTCAAAATTGTTCTGGATATTGTTCTGGAATTATATGGGTTCTCTCTTCAAATATTTGTTTCTTTAAGCAGTGTTCTGTAGTTTCCAGCATAGAGGTCTTATACATCTTTTATTAAATTTACTTCTAAGTATTATTTAAGATTAATTTATTTATTCTGGTAGGGGGAAGGCATGTGGACAAGGGGCGGAGGGAGAGGGAAGGCAGATTCCTCATTCAGCACAGAGCCCGATGCAGGCCCAATCTCAGGACCCCGAGATCATGACCTGAACCGAAACCAAGAGCTGGACACCCAACTGACAGCGCCCCCCAGGCGCCCCTTAAGTATTTTTTTTTTTTTTTATTAAAGATTTTTATTTATTTATTTGACAGAGAGATCACAAGCAGGCAGAGAGGCAGGCAGAGAGAGAGGAGGAAGCAGGCTCCCTGCTGAGCAGAGAGCCCGACGCGGGGCTCGATCCCAGGACTCTGAGATCATGACCTGAGCCGAAGGCAGCGGCTCAACCCACTGAGCCACCCAGGCACCCCGCCCCTTAAGTATTTTAAGTAACTGTGCATTTGTCTTTCTCTCTTTGCGTCTGTCAATTTTGGCTTCATGTATTTTGGAACTCTGTTATTAGGCTCATACCCATCTATAATTGGTATTTCTCCTGATGACCTGACCGTGGTGCCATTATAAAATGTCCCTCTTTATCTCTGGTCATACCGTGTCTTGAAGTCTACGTCATCTGCGGCTTGTAGTGCCACACCAGCTTTCTGTGCTTATTATCTGTATAACCTTTCTTTTCTTTTAATCTACCTCTATCTTTATAGTTAGAATGGATCTCTTGAAAACAACATAGAGCTGGATCTTGGTTTTTTTATCCAATCTGACATTTGTGCCTTTTTACTAGCATATTTAGCTAATTATTATTTAATTTTTGTAATTAATATACTTGTTAGTATGTTGGGTTTAAGTCTACCTTTTGATGTTTTCTTTTGTCCCATTTATTTAGTATTTGTTCCCCGGGCAGCTAATAGTACCGTCTTAATGACGTCTCAAGTCCATCAGTTCGTGCCTTCATTTCTGGGCATCCGTGACCCTACAAAACCCTCTCCCACTTCTCATATAAGAGATCTAAAGAGACAGTTAGCAGAGACCCCAATGTAGTTTCCTTTTTTCAAGGCTTAAATCTCCTCCAATTTCTATGTACTTTTTTGGTTGCTCTCTAGTACCTTCAAATTGTTTTTAAACATATTTTGCTCAGAGTTTATAATTTTTATGGGAGATTTAGTCTAATACATTATTGGACTCTGCCACAGCTGGAACCAGAAACTGAACTGATAGGCAAGTTTAGAAAAAGTGGCTTGTTGTGGCAACACTAATCCAGCTGGGCACGTTGATGGAGCTGCACTGTACTTGCCAAATACAACAAGGGTGAGAGGAAAGGATAAAAAGAGAATGCGAAGCAGTGAAGACAAACATTTCTGACAATGGGAAAGAATGTGGATGAATGGGATTTCTCATAAACGTTGGGGGGAGTATAAATTGGCCCATCTACATATGAGAACAATTTGGCAGTATCTACAGAAGCTAAATCTTTGCATACCTAATAACCGGCACTTCCACCCCTAAATACATATCCCAGAATGTTCAGAGCAACCTTATTTCTAAAAGAAAACAAAATCTGGAAACAACCCAGAGGCCTACCACCACTTTCCCAACAATATACTGTACAGCAACACCCCACCACGGCTACACACAACATAGGGCTAGCTTGGTGAATGGAAAAAGCAAGGCTCAAAAGACTGCATATAGTATGCCACTCTTGTCTGCTGTTTGTTTTATGAAGTGCCAAAAAGTATAGAAAACATGGGTTAGGAAATCCCATATATGTGATCACACTATTTTCAGAAAAAGCAAAGGAACGATAAATATAAATTCAAAACAATGGCTATGTGGGGGAGAAAGTCCAAGCTATGTGGATACAGATAAATTATTGTTACCGGTCCAGGTCTCGTTTGGATATCAGATTCACAGATACTCATTTTATTAAGAATAAATGCATGCATGAATGAATAAAACATAGAAAGGAAAGAGAGTTATTCATGGATCACACAGGACACAGGGTGTTATGCATTAAGGATTATGATTAATCTAAAAATGGGCACTCAAGAAGGCAGGAGATCAATGATGAGAAATGTTGTCAATTAAAAAGGAAGGCAATCAGGAACAGCCCTACAAAGGGAAATGACATAATACATTATATGAAGGCCTGTGCAAAGATAAGAGGTTACAGCTCTCTTATTCTGAGCCCAAAGTCAGGGCAATGAATTGTTCTTTCTTTTTTGGATCGCTGCCCTGCTTTCCACTGGGACTCAGTGTGTACCCCTTTATACCACCAGAGCCATGTAGCCTGAGCAGGGTAATATTCTAAGTGAAAAGCAACAGAAATAAAAAAAGAAAAGAAAAGCAACAGAAATAGAACGAACAATCCTAAAATTTGTGTGGAACCATAGAAAACCCTGAACAGGCAAAGTGATCTTGAGAAAGAACAAAGCTAGAGTCAGCATGCCCTCTGATTTCAAACCTTATTACAAATATATGGTAATCAAAGCAGTACAGTACTGGCATAAAAACAGACCTACAGATCAACAAAACAGAACAGAGGGCCCAGAAATAAACCCACACATACATGGTCACGGAACCAAGAATATGCAAAGGGGAAAGAAAGGACAGTCTCTTCAATTAATGGTGCTGGGAAAACTGGACAACCACATGTAAAAGAGAAGCTGGACCCCTATCTTAACAACATATACAAAAAATAAACTCAAAATAGATCAGAGACTGGAACATTAGGACCTGAAACTATAAAAATCCTAGAAGAAAACACAGATGGGAAAATCCTCAACGATGGTCTTGGTGATGATTTTTATATCTAACTCCAAAGGCAAAGAGAACCAAAGTGAAACTAAGTAAGTAAACCACATCAAACTAAAAAGTTTCGACACGGTAAAAGATACCATCAGCAGAATGAAAGATACTATCCAGCAGAATAGGAGAAAATATTTGCAAACCATTTTTTTGAAAAGGGGTTAATATACAAAATATATAAAGAATTCATACAATGCAATACAAAAAAAAACTGATAAAAAAAAGAAAATATGAACAGATATTTTTCTGGAGAAGACCTACAGATGACCAACAGGTACATGAAAAGGTGTTCAACATCATTCATTACCAAAAAATACAGATCAAAACCACAATGAGGCATCACTTGACATCTGTAAGAATAGCTAGTATCAAAAAGACAAGAACAACCAGCGTTGGCAAGGATGTGGAAAAAAAGGAACCACAGTGCACTGTTGGTGGGAATGTAAATTGTGCAGCCACTCTGAAAAGCAGTATGGAGGTTCCCTGAAAAAGTAAAACTATAAATACCAAATGATCCGGTATCCCACTACTGGCTACTTACCCAGTGAAAATGCAAACACTAACTCAAAAAGTAGTTAACTAACTGCACCCCCTATGTTCATGTAGCACTGTTTACGGCATCAATGACATGAAAACAACCTAGGTGTCCACTGATGGATGAATGAATAAAGGAAATGGATTATTATTGAGCCGTTAAAAAAAAGTGCTATCTTGCCATCTGCAACAACATGCATGGAACCTGAGGGCATTATGCTACGTGAAATAAGTCAGACACAGACAGATAAATACCATATGATCTCACTTATACGTGGAACCCAAAAAAAACCAAAACAAAGCAAACAGCACATGGGTTCAGAGATACAGAGAACAGATCGGTAGTTGCCAGAGGCTGACTGGGGGGTGCGTGAAATGAGTGAAAGGGATCAAAAGGTACAAACACTTCCAGTTATAAAATAAGTAAGTCTCATGGATGTAACGTACAGCATAAAAACTACAGTTAATAACACTGTATTGCATATCTGAAATCTGCTAAGAGACTAGATCTTAATAGTTCTCACTATAAGGAAAAAAAATTTGTAACTTTATGGTGACAGAAATTAACTAGACTTACTGTGAACATTTCACATTATACACAAATATTGAATCATGTTCTACACCTAACAGGATATTTGTTAATTAGACCTCAATAAAAAAAATCAGAATAGACAAATTAATTAAAACAACTGCAACTCCAGTCCAAATACACAGTGCCCTAAGCCAATAGCCAGGAGCAAGGCTGATAAGCACATTTAAGCTAATGCTTTAACCAGTGCCTTCTGCCCCAGCCTAGGTGTTGTTCAGGAGTCAAAGGGACAAGTCTTCTAGAGGTTGGTTCCTAACTGGGAATACAAAGAATGCACAAGAGAGGAAAAAAGATATTTATAATCATGCCTCAAAATGGGCGTGCGGGCCAACCAAAACCTTTCTGCAGAGCTCTCCTCCTTCCCGAATTCCACGCTGGGTACCACTGAAACATGGTTTGCTACATTCTATTTAACCTCCTTAGGGAAAAAGGATGGGAGAAAATACATCATAAATATTTATGATTGCCTTAAAAAGCGGAAACATCTGCTAAAACCTGAGAGGTTTCTTTGGTGTAGGGTGAGCAGAGCTAGTGTCACACAGCATGGCTGTTTTCAGTCAGGTTGCAGAAAGCATGTGAGGGACCAGGGCCCATCTCCTGGGAAGCTGCAGTGGACCCAGGTACCTGGACAGGCAAAGCACCACACACGGTACAGGTCACTTAACATGCCCGAAAGTGAAAGCTCTGGTAGAATGCTTCCTGTTTCACAAGGTCCCTCTAATCAGTTCCCGGCCCTTGGCAGGAGTGGTCTGGCTTCTACTGATGTAGCCCCACAGGGTAAGTCTTCCTACAGCCCCCACGCCTGGTTTCTTGATCGCTGATGCGTCTGACTTGCACCTCTTAGTCACTGCCGTTCCTAGCTGTATCTCTATAATGATTCAAATCTCTTCTTGTCACTCTCACTGGCTCCTTTCTCTCCTGGAACCCAGTTCACATTTGGGTCTCTCCTAGTTAGGCAAGGGAACTCTAGTAATTAAGAATGTTGAGTACTGCTTTGTAATATGTGGCATCTCCTTCTTAGCACATGCCATATAGACTCCGGAATGCCTGGGCAGGGCAGAGGCCCGCTTGGCAGACAGCAGGCAACCCAGGGCCCAGAAAATGCCTCCTCCGGGTGGCACGTGCTGGCATGACAGTTCTCTGACACTACAGTAGGTAAATGCTTCTGGGTACCAGGCACAGGGCAGACAGGAACTCTCCTGATTTATTTTCAATTAAAATGGTTTTACCTTTGCTGGGGCATTCAATTGGAAGCGTTTTTCATAAGCAAAACAGTCCATCAACATTACTAAAAATAAAGTGCTCCTTCCTGGTGATTAGCTAGATACTCTTAACAAGCCTTTTCTGTCCTTGGGGGAATGAATAATATATGCAATATAACAAACCTGCTTGTTTTTTTTTCCCAGAGCTTCCACAAAGCACCCTGTAAACACCTGAATAGTGGCTATTACTTCTGGGGCTCCATTGGTTTCCAGGAGTGCATACCTGAGCAATGCAAAGACAGATGACAACACATTAATGATTAATCTGGCAAACACGTGAGGCTGATTTGTAAAAGGGAGAGTGGAAACATTTTTGTGCCATAAGCTTCAGCAGTATCTTAGCTCATCAGATTTCAGTCCTTGTGTGAAAGTAGGAGAAATTTGTCATTCTTTTTCTAAGTTCTTTCCTTAAAATAGCAATCTGTGGAGCTTCCTTTCTTGGTTTTTAAATTATTAAGCACTGAATATCCCTTCCATACAGGCCTGAGTGCTCTTTAGAAATACTCACACGCTGTATGCCCAGGCATGCAAAATCAACAGAGCTTTTGCTTTTTCAGGTGGAGAAAGAGCTGCCCAAGGGGTAAAATGCCTTGGTCAAATCCACCCAGCAAAGCGGTGGAAAAATCTGTGGGAGAATCTGCATCGTACCTGGATTGGTTTCTGTGCATCTTCTTACATCTAACTTTATGCTGAAACAAAAGATATCACCTCAAACTTTGCTCGCTGTAAGCTAAAAAGATCATTCTGACTTACTCCCGTGCTCACTTATTTAGCCTGAAGTTGGTATGCTTGAGCACCGACTCAAGGGCTGGGTTATTTGTTGTTGTAAAAATTTCTCTCCCCAGTGTTGCTGTCTGCCCAGGAGGCTCTGCTGCTGAGGGGAGGAGGACGGCTGGGGGAGGGTGAGCCCCGCCCCGGGGCTGCACCAGCACCTGGGAAAGGGGACAGAAACCCTCCCTGGGTAACAAGCTCCCACTAACTGCCAACCATAACCCTACCTGCTATCCAGTGGTCTCCCATCTCTCATCATCTGGAAATCCAATGAGCTTCCTAAGAAGTACTCATATTTGCAAAATTAATGTGTTGCAGGATAACATGCATAACTGATTTTGCCTTTCAGCTCTCTTAAGAATGGCATTATTTATTTATTTTTCTTGGTTTCTCCTTAGCTTTAAAATCCTTTAAAAAGATTGGTCAGCCCTCATGTGGTGAAGGAAGTACACTGCTATGCTTTATTTTGAACTGAGAAAAACCCAACATGAACATTTAATGATTTAATACCTAATTCGATTTTGCCTTTCTATTATTATTATTATTAAAATTTTAAATAGCTTTAAAAAAGTTATTTTAATTCTTAGGCATTGGCTTTTAAATATACACTGACATTTCGGTTTTACCAAATAGCTCAGAGCGGTAAGACAGAATCAGAAACTAACTTCTCCACGGTAGAGCCAGAGACTATCACAAAACTTTTTATTCATATTTGGAAACTGAGCTTTTCTGGATCAGTTATTAGTAAAAACAGCACACCATTTACCTGAACATTTCATCAACAACTCTGAATATGGCAGGGTGGCAGGCTGCTTCAGGCTGTGAAGGAAGAGACCAAAAGAAAGTAAAATATCAGAAGCATTTCACTGATAACATATGACCGGTAATTATCAGAGATATGAGTTGTCCAGAACTGCTGGTGTCTAGAAAATGGGCATATCCCTTCGGGTTAGATAAAAACAAAAACAAAAACAAAAACAAAAACAACACTGAGTACATGGAAAAAGGTTTGCATTACAAACACAAACTGGTTCTCTAGGAGCAAAGAGATTACGGGCAAGCTTTATTTCCTCTTTATACTCCTGTATGTTCCACATTTTCTCCAATGGGCCAATATGATCCAGAGAAAGAATCAATAAATATCATGGGAAATTTAAAAATAACCTTTCACCAGCATGCTGTAGTAAAGGCAGAGCCTGCCTGTGTAGCTAGTTTACACCTGCCCATGTGTCTGGCTATCGCGCCATGGCCCAGAAGTGTCCCAAGGTCAGGTATGGGTCTGCTATCTTTTCTTTCCTCCTTATTAGGCAATGAGTACATAGTAATTTAGAAATATTATTAAGGATACAGTGACTACTACCATCCTGGACTAAATAATACCACATCTCAGTGCACTATGAATTTAGCAGCTTAAATTATTTAGGATGACAAAAGGGCCCATGAAAATAAAATATAGATACCATCACCTTGAACAAGAAAAGTAATTTATTCTGTGAAGATTTTTGTGATGATTTCAATATGTAGAAGTTGACCTACTGTGGCCTAGGTGGGCTTTAGTGGGCCTATCCCAGGTTCTCTATCTTTTCAGCTAGAACTCAAAGCATAAGATTAAAGCCAGATGAAAATGCCATTTGGGGTGGGGGGGCGGGGGTGTTGGGGGGGGTTGCCTGGGTGGCTCAGTTGGTTAAATGTCTGCCTTTGGCTCAGGTCACGATCCCAGGATCCTGGGATTGAGTTCAGCATCAGGCTCCCTGCTCAGCAGGGAGCCTGCTTCTCCCTCTGACTGCGGCTTCCCATGCTTGTACTCTCTGACAAACAAATAAACAAAACCTTTAAAAAAAAAAAAAGAATATGCCATTTGTGTTCTGAAATAGAGATTTTAGAGGAGCATCCAAATGTGAGTAGATTAAGCTCTACAAGGGACATTTTTTTTGAGTCCTACTGCACTTGATATGAACAGCTTCACAGCCCCCTCAACAAAAAAGAAGAAAAGATATGCTTTGCCTCCTAAGTTTTCTGGGTCATGCTGAAGAATGGAACCTATCTCCATTGATTTTCTTTCCCACTTTCCAGGATGCACTTTTGAATTGTAACATTGAACGTATGCCATCTAGTGTTCACATCCTGCCACTACAGGCTGTCGCAGGAGGCTCTCAGCAAGAACACGGCCACTTGTTCAAAGGATGGGAAAATTTCCTTTTAATTACTGGAAGAGAGATTTGTTCTTTACAAGTTACAAATTACTACTCTTTAAGCAGAGTAACCCATATTCCCTAATCCTTCACTGATGTGCATGTTTAACTAAAAGAAGCCAACTAAAAATTCTCATAGATAAATTCATTATGTACTCAAGAAATAATTTGGCAGGACCATGGTTCAACAGAAGGGAGGCAAATTATTTCTTGGCTTTGATCTCAGGCAAGTCAGTTAATCTCCCTGTGTCTCGGACCCACTGTAAATAATAACAGTTATTAAGAGGTCACTGGATAAATGCCCAGAAAATATCGTAAATGTTTCTACATATTCATAATGGAAAAATCAAACAAGAAGGGAAAAGCAAACTATATGTCTTACAGCGATTCATCAGATTTTCCAAAAAATTTTCAAACGTTCATAGATGGACAATATGCCTGAAAAAGTGTTTAAGACCAAACAACACTGTCACGTGCCCACAAGCAGACAGACATAGGGAGCCTGAAAATGTACTGACAGAAAACCAAAATTGGAAATGGTAAAATAGTACTATTCTTTTCAATCCCCAAATGGTCTAATTAATCCAGAGCCACTAGGTAAATTTGATGTTAGGAGAAAATCATTCAGTACTAATTACAGGGGGGTGCCTGGTTGGCTCCAGTCAGTTAAGCATCTGCCTTCAACTCAGGTTATGATCCCGGAGTCCTGGAGTGCTGGGATCAAGCCCTGCATCAGGCTCCCTATTCAGCGGGGTGTCTGCTTCTCTCTCTGCCCTTCGCCCCACTGGTGCTCTCTCTATCTCAAATAAAGATATAAAATCTTAAAAAAAAAATACTAATTACAGGGATTTCTAAATGGCCAATGAAAAGATAATCCAATGGGTAGAATAGGGGAAGAAGCAAGAATGTTCTAACTCAGTTTGTTAAGAGAGAACTAGAGTTTGGACATACCTTTTTTTTTTTAAATTAAGATTTTATTTATTTATTTGACAGACAGAAATCACAAGTAGGCAGAGAGGCAGGCAGAGAGAGAGGGGGAGGCAGGCTCCCTGCTGAGCAGAGAGTCCTGATGCAGGGGCTCCATCCCAGGACCCTGGGATTGTGACCTGAGCCGAAGGCAGAGGCTTTAAGCCACTGAGCCACCCAAGCGTCCCATGGACATACTTTTATGCAGTGTTTTCTATCAAAACCGCTCAATCCAATGTTTTAAATGTCTCCAGAATGTGTGGGACCGCCTGCTCTCTCCATGCCAATGGACTCTTTGCTTAGATTTCCTTCTGTCTAAATATTTCAGACTTTTGTTTGCTCTCAGCCTGCTTCTACAACTCATTTTAGCTTTTACAACAGATAAAATGCCAGGAGGCAGGAGAACCTTGCTGAAACAGCAGTGGCGGAGATTCTGATTTAAAAACCAGTCTTCCTTGCTGCCCCAGAGCTGAGAACAGCTCTTTCTCATCCGCAGCCTTTACTGACGGCTTTTAAAGTGAGACTCTTTACGCTTCCCGAGCACATAAATTCAGGGTCAGTGAGTCCCCTCACGAGGCTGGAGTGCTCACAGGCCAGGCATGTGTCCCAGTGACATCAAATCACAAAAGCAAACTTAAGCTGCTTTTCTTATCAAGAGAATCCTCCAAATAGAATTAAAGTCTTAATTTATGCTTCTTTGGAAGCCATAAATTCCCCACCCCCCAATCTTTATAGCATCCTTGTGAGGAAGGAGCCAAACATTTAACCCCTCTGTGCCCTGTCATATTTGTAGAATGGGACCCTACAGTAACCCACCACAGGCCACTCTGCAACCCAGGGCTGCGAACCCTAGCTCTAAAGCCCTACAATCCGGGTGATTATCTTTCTTGTAAAAATGAGGGAAAGAAAAACTTTCTTGGGTTCCATCTGTTTGTCTGTTTTTCTCCATCCTACCAAAATCTGTTTCTTCTCAATCTCTGCTCTTCTCCATCTGGCCTAATGATTTCCATGTACAGATTATTTCAAGTCTAGGGAAACTATGTCACCAAGAGACCATCAATAACACATGTTTTGCCCTACTCCCCTCCCCTCACACCACCCCCAACCTTTCACTGAATGTCGGAGGGTGAACAGAAGATGATGATGGAGAGCTCTGGACTCCGACTTCCTTTTCTTATGGACCAGATTGTTCTGTTGGGTGTGCATCTCCTTCCCATCTCCCACAGCTACCCAGAAATGCACCGTTATCTCCTCTCTGCCTAGGACAGCCAATTCCCAGCCCTCAACAAAACAAGGGAAGTCAACACAGAAAAATGCGCTGTGGCCGTGTGCTGTGCTCTTGGCCTGTGTTGTGGGGGAAAGGTGAGAGAGAGGCCAACTGTACAAATAACATCCATGCATATACTCTGCCCCTGATGCCTAATCTGTTAGTTTTATCCCAATTCATCGAGGATTATTACAAGCCCCTTATCGCTTGAAAGAGGCCTGAGAGCATGGAAGAACAGAATTCTCATGGAAGAAATCTTTCCTCTTTCCTATGATTTTCTGATTCCTTGTGTGTGCTCAATAGAGTATGGGGAGAAGGGAAAGAAGAGAGAGAAAGGGAAATTGTATTATGATTCAAGGTAATTCACAGACAAAAGTGAATGCCTCACAGAAGAAAGGGCAGTGAGGAAACAGAAAAGTTCTCAAGCCTTTTCCATTTATCATCCTTCATATCATCCTTAGATATTTTAATCTAAAAATTTAAAACATCCTTAGATATTTTAATCTAAAAAATAAAGAGGGAAATCGGAGGTAAGAGAGAAGATGAAATTCAGGAAGCCAGGAACAGATTTTAAGATAGTTAAATATTTTACTCAGGAATGGTCATTCTCTTTACGAAGAAATGGCTGACGAGAAGCTTGCTCTCCAGTGTATGCAGGAGCCAGCAGTCCCAGCCCACTCCTCTGAACCCCTGATGGGTGGGAGCCCCTATAGGGTGTGATTACGTGATACACGTATATAATTAAAGGGTAACTATATTTATCAGAAAATAACTTTCCTCTTTTAAAAAAAGGGATTCTCCAGGTGATTCATTCTAATAGTAAACTCCTTTATGGAATTCAAAAAACAGTTTGGTTTTTTAAGATATCGACTTATATGAAATATTTGTATCTACTGTGTAAGGTAAAGCACCTTTATTAGTATGTATGTTTTATTATACCATTTTCTTCTTTTCTGCTTTCAGAATGCTAAACATAAATATCTGTATTTATGTATGTAAATATCCCTTTTACATTTCAGGACTTATTTTGTTTCAAAACACTCAAGTTTCTTTCAACAAATTTGAGCTTGGAAAAATTATTCTTTCTTTTTAATCTTTACCAGATGTTGTTTACACTACAAGCAATTTTTTTCAGTACTCCATAATACAATTATTGTTTAATTAGTGATAAATGTATCATTTCTGGGCTTAACAGAAAAACAACAACTTAAGCACCAAATATACTTCTTTTAAATTTACCTGTGCTCTCCAATGTCAGCTCTGGATGCAGAACTAAGATCCCCCAAACCTAAAGTTCCTTCTACCCTTACCCAGTGGCTTCTACCTAGTGAGCCTGTGCAGTTTGAGCAGGAAGATAGCCCGTTAGCTTCCTGCTGCTTCTTGGCTCAGTCACT